GGAGGGAAGGAAGGAGGGAAGGAAGGAGGGAAGGAAGGAGGGAAGGAAGGAGGGAAGGAAGGAGGGAAGGAAGGAGGGAAGGAAGGAGGGAAGGAAGGAGGGAAGGAAGGAGGGAAGGAAGGAGGGAAGGAAGGAGGGAAGGAAGGAGGGAAGGAAGGAGGGAAGGAAGGAGGGAAGGAAGGAGGGAAGGAAGGAGGGAAGGAAGGAGGGAAGGAAGGAGGGAAGGAAGGAGGGAAGGAAGGAGGGAAGGAAGGAGGGAAGGAAGGAGGGAAGGAAGGAGGGAAGGAAGGAGGGAAGGAAGGAGGGAAGGAAGGAGGGAAGGAAGGAGGGAAGGAAGGAGGGAAGGAAGGAGGGAAGGAAGGAGGGAAGGAAGGAGGGAAGGAAGGAGGGAAGGAAGGAGGGAAGGAAGGAGGGAAGGAAGGAGGGAAGGAAGGAGGGAAGGAAGGAGGGAAGGAAGGAGGGAAGGAAGGAGGGAAGGAAGGAGGGAAGGAAGGAGGGAAGGAAGGAGGGAAGGAAGGAAGGAAGGAAGGAAGGAAGGAAGGAAGGAAGGAAGGAAGGAAGGAAGGAAGGAAGGAGGGAAGGAAGGAGGGAAGGAAGGAGGGAAGGAAGGAGGGAAGGAAGGAGGGAAGGAAGGAGGGAAGGAAGGAGGGAAGGAAGGAGGGAAGGAAGGAGGGAAGGAAGGAGGGAAGGAAGGAGGGAAGGAAGGAAGGAAGGAAGGAAGGAAGGAAGGAAGGAAGGAAGGAAGGAAGGAAGGAAAGGGGAAAGGAAAAAGGAAAGGAAAGGAAAGGAAAGGAAAGGAAAGGAAAGGAAAGGAAAGGAAAGGGGAAAGGAAAGGAAAGGAAAGGAAAAAGGAAAGGAAAAAGGAAAGGAAAAAGGAAAGGAAAGGAAGCTGGAGTGGGGAATGTTTGGCTGGTTCCCTGCCTGGTTGGGCTTTTCCTGCTGGTGTCCAACTTTGCTGCCCCTTCTCCCTTCCCCAGCTGGGAGCCACACATCCTGACTGCTCCATCATTCTCCACTTCCAAGAGCAAGAAGCTGAATGTCTGGAGACCATCAGGGGGGAAAGGGAGAGGGCAGAGACCCCCGGGCAGCAGGGTGAGTGTGTGGGGAGGAGGGGAAAGGGCTCCTGGGGGGGCTGAGGGGTTTGGCTGTGGCTGGGGGGGGTTGCAGAGCCCCTTAGTGGAGGGATAAAAGCAGGTGTTTTCATAGAATCATTGAATCCCAGACTGGTTTGAGTGGGAAGGGACCTTAAAGATCATCTAATCCAACCCCCTGCATGGGCAGGGACACCTCCCAGCAGCCCAGGCTGCTCCAAGCCCCATCCAACCTGCCCTTCAACACTGCCAGGGATGGGGCAGCCACAGCTTCCCTGGGCCACCTGGGCCAGGCTCTCACCACCCTCACACCAAAGAATTTCCTCCTCATGTCTCACCTCAATCTCCCTCTTCCAGTTTTCATCCATCCCCCTCATCCCATCCCTCCCTGCCCTTGTCCCAAGTCCCTCCCCAGCTTTCCTGGAGCCCCTTCAGGCACTGGAAGGTGCTCTGAGGTCTCCCTGGAGCCTTCTCTTCTCCAGGCTCAACACCCCAGCTCTCCGAAACAGCCCTTGGGGCTGAGTCCCCACACACTCATCACAGGTGGCAGTGATGAGCCTCCTGGATCCAGAGCCCTGGACACCCCCACGAGTGTCCCTTGGTCCCTGTCACCCCTTCATACCCTCCTCACCCAGTCACTTAGAAACCTGAACACGTTCTGAGCAACTTCATTTTTACACCCCCAGGGTTTCTAAACCCATCAACCAACTGGAAAAATAATAATAATAAAAAAAAAATAGAATGTTTCCAAATGTTCCTTTTGGTTGGGTTTTTGGGGTGGGTTTTTTTGCCCTTTTTGGGGGGTTTTTTGTTTCTAATGGCATTTGCATTCCCACCCAAAAGCAGCTTGGCTCAAATTCTGGGGGAAAATGATCACTTAGTGAATAAGAAATGAGTCCTTTTGTGTGGCTGAAAAAAAAAGAGATGGAGCTTCTCAATAATTTCATGGTGAAGCAGCTGGGCTGGGATTGCAACGTGTCATCCTGCTGGGGAGAGAAAAGCCAAGGGGGTTGGAAAAGGGCCCTTTGGGAGTCCTGGTTTGGAGGCAGGAGGAAAGGACCTTGGGGGAGGAACAGAACCATGGCAAGGGATAACCCAGTATCTGGGAAGGGATGACCCAATATCTGGGAAGAGATGACCCAATATCTGGGAAGGGATAACCCAGGATCTGGGAAGGGATGACCCAATATCTGCCCTTCCCCCTTGCTCCCTTGGGACAAGGTGACACCAAGTGACAACGTGGGGATGGTCTGATGTCCCAGATGTGGTGGGAATATGGCCTGAGGGAACAGGACAGGGACCCCCCAGCCCCACCTGGGGCCCCAAAACTGCTCAGAGATGGTGTCTGTAGTGACTCAATTTCCAAATCTGCTCCAGTGCTCCCAGGATTTTCTGCTGCAGGGGATCTGGGAAGAGACAATCCAAGAGGTGGGAAGGGATAACCCAGTATCTGGGAAGGGATAACCCAGTACCTGGGAAGGGATAATCCAGTATCTGAGAAGGGAACACTGCCAGGGATGGGGCAGCCACAGCTTCCCTGGGCAACCTGGGCCAGGCTCTCACCACCCTCACAGCACAGAATTTCCTCCTCATGTCTCACCTCCATCTCCCTCTTCAGTTTTCATCCATCCCCCTCATCCCATCCCTCCCTGCCCTTGTCCCAAGCCCCTCCCCAGCTTTCCTGGAGCCCCTTCAGGCACTGGAAGCTGCTCTAAGGTCTCCCTGGAGCCTTCTCTTCTCCAGGCTGAACACCCCAACTCTCCCAGCCTGTCCCAGAGCTGCTCCAGCCCTCCCAGCATCTCTGTGGCTCCTCTGACCTCTCTCCAACAGCTCCACATTCCTCCTGTGCTGGGGGCTCCAGAACTGGACACCACGACCCCAGGTCTCAGTGCTGGGCTCCCAGCAGGTCCCAGTGCCAAGGAGCCCATTCCCATCACTGTCCCCAGGAAGCTCCTGATCCCTGAGGAGCACAGGGTGACCCCTGGGGGTTGGGTCACTGCTGCTCTCCCTTTCACAGCCCTGGGCTCTGCTGTCCCCCCCAGCAGGTCCCTCCCCAGTGGCACTAAACCTGTCCTGTCCCTCCCCAGGCTGCAGGACCCAGTGGGATGGGGTGAGCTGCTGGGGGGCCCTGCCCCCGGGCCACTCCCGAGCCCTGCCCTGCCCTGACCTGCTCCACGTCTTCAAGAAGTCCCAAGGTTGGCAAACTCTGAACCCCCTCCCCACCCTCCAGGACCCAGGGCTGCCCCCCCTGCTGCCTGGGACCCCCGTGTCCCCCCACCCTGACCCCACAGCCCCTGCCCCATCCACAAACCCTGGGAGATGTCGCAGCCCAAGGAGGGCAGTGAGATGCAGGGAGGTCCCCAGACCCTCCCACTGCCCAGCACCAAGCCCCTGGGGACCTGCTCCCCCCCCAGGGCTGACACCAGGGCAGTCCCCTGGCTGCTCAGTGTCCCCTTGTCCCCACCCACACACCAGCCAGGTGCTCCCAACCTGCTCCAGGACACCCCAAGCCACCCAGCTGAGACCCAGGGTGTCATTCCCTCCTGCCCTGGGGGGCTCCTGGCACCTCCAGGCCTGTGATTATAGAACCCTAGACCTGTTTGGGTTGGCAGGACCTTAAAGATCATCCAGTCCCCCCCCTGCATGGGCAGGGACACCTCCCAGCAGCCCAGGCTGCTCCAAGCCCCATCCAACCTGCCCTTCAACACTGCCAGGGATGGGGCAGCCACAGCTTCCCTGGGCAACCTGGGCCAGGCTCTCACCACCCTCACACCAAAGAATTCCCTCCTCATGTCTCACCTCAATCTCCCTCTCCCAGTTTCAACCCATTCCCCTCATCCCACCCCTCCCTGCCCTTGTCCCAAGTCCCTTCCCAGACCCCAGAGCTGTGCTGGGAATGACTGGGATGTGCAGCCAGGTCCTTGGGGTTCCACCCAGCTGTCCCAGCTGGTGCTTGGGGCTCCGTCCTGCAGATCAAGGTGCCACCCCCGGGTTGACACCCTGGGGTGAGTTCCCAGCCTGTCCCTGCAGGGCTGGTCTGGAGGAACTGCACGGAGCAGGGCTGGAGCCCCCCCAGCCCCCCCTACCACCAGGCCTGCCAGCTGGAGCCCTTGGGGGGCAGCAACGACACGGAGACCAAGGCAAGCAGGTCCCCTGGGGGGGCTTGGGGTCCCCTCCCTGGTGTCTCCTCCCCCACCTTGACACGTGTTGTTGGGCAATGAAACCCTGGAGGGGTTTTTGGGGTCTCTCCAGGGGTCACCTCCTGGTTGCTGGGCTGGATGGAGGGATCTGAGCTGGGACAAGGGTTGGGCCACCACCCTGGCACCTCCTGCCCAGCACAGACCAGCACCCCCCGGCCTGTGCTGCCTCACCCCACTGGTGCTTTCCCTTCCAGAAAGGCTATTTTGTCACCGTGAAGGTGCTTTACACCTGTGGCTACTCCACGTCCCTGGCAGCCCTGCTGCTGGCCATTGGCATCTTCTCCTGCTTCAGGTAGGGCCTGGGGCTGGAGGGAGGGAAGGGAAGTCATGGGCAGATGCCAGTCTGGGTTGGGTTGGAAGGGACCTTAAAGATCACCCAGTCCCACCCCCTGCATGGGCAGGGACACCTCCCAGCAGCCCAGGCTGCTCCAAGCCCCATCCAA